TTTCCATTCATTCATTGTTGCACGCATCTGGTGGATTTGAACCGCTCACCTCTGGGATTGCAACCTTCTTGCCACTAGGCCACCAGAGCTCACCATTAATAAGCCTTTTAAATCCCTTGTCTTCATTATATATTGATTGTGGGATTTTTTTGTTTTGTTTTGTTTTACATATTGTTTTCTAGTACAACCTTTGTCAAGGAGTCAACTATGACTCATAGTGACCCTACAAACAACAGACCTGGACCTTACCCCTGTGTCATGGTCACCATTTCTTGTCATCTGTTAGAGTCACTGTGTCAGTCCATCTTGTTGAGGTTCTTACCCTCTCTCTTCCACCTTTCCCACCATGATGTCTTTTTCCAGGGACTGGCCCTTCCTGACAAAGTATGTGAGATGAAATGTCATAATCATTGCCTTTAAAGATACTACGCTTGAAATAATTAAAAAAATAAAATAAAGATACAACACTCGATCTTACCCAAAAAAGCCGAGAAGCCTCTGAAGAGCATCCTGGTTGTACTTCCTCCCAAACAGGTTTGTTTTTTTAACAGTCTATGAGATTCTTGGACCAGGAAGCAATTGTCAGAATAGAGTAAGGAAACACTGCATGGTTCAAAATCAGGAAAGGAGTGCATCAGGAATGTGTTCTGTCTCCGTACATTTATGTGGAACAGATTATTTGAGAGGCTAGATTTTATGTTGTTGTTATGTGCCATCGAGTCACTTGAAACTCATAGTGACCCTATGTACAACAGCCCTAAACTCTGTTCTGTCCTGTGCCAATCGCACTGTCTCTGACACTCCCATCCAGATCATCCCAGTCACTGAATCAATCCACCTCATAGAGGGCCTTCCCCTCCTGCGCTGTCCCTTCACCTTCCCAAGCATGATGTCCTTTTCCAAGGACTGGTCTCTCCTCACAACATGTCCAATGTTAGACGGAGCCTCAGAATTCTTGCCTCCAAGGATCCAGCCGGTTTAACCCTTTCCAGGATGAATCTGTTTGTTTTCCTAGCAGTCCATGCTATTCTCAATACTCTTCTCCAGCATCATAGCTCAAAGGCATCAATTCTCCTTCTATCCTCCTTGGTCATTGCATAACAAGTGATTGTGAAGACCATGGCCTGTATCAGACAAAGAGTGTGGCATCAGGATTCATGGACAACTCATCAACAACCTGTGTTATGCAGATGATACAACTTTGCTTGACAAAACTGAGGAGGACCTGAAAAATTTGCTGCAGAAGGTCAAGGACTGAAGGTATTCAATATGGTTTGAAGCTTAATATTAAGAAGACAAAGATTGTCACCACGGGGCCAGTTGACAGCACCATGTTGAAAGGAGAAGAAATTCAGGTTGTTAACAATTTCATCTTGTTTGGTTCCACAATCAACACTCTAGGCACCAGCAGTCAGGAAATCAAAAGACGAATTGCATTGGGAAAGGCTGTTGTCAGGGATCTCTCTAGAGTATTGTGGAGCAATGATAACAGTCTAGAGACTAAGGTTTGCCTGATCCAGGCCATGATCTTTGAAATAACTTGCTCTGCATCAGAAAGCTGGAGAATGACTAAGGATGACAGAAGAAGAATTGATTTGTGGTGCTGGGGAAGAGTAATGAACATACCAGGAGCCACTAGAACAAATAAGTCTGTCTTGGAGAGAGTGAAACCAAGTTTCTCCTTGGAAGCAAGGATTTTGAAGCTCTGTCTTACATAATTTGGGCACGTGGCCAAAAGGGATCAGTCCTTTGAGAAGGACATCATGCTTGGAAGAGTGGAGGGACACCACAGGAGAGGAAGACCCTGGATGAGATGGATTGACACAATAACTGGGACAATGAGATTAGGTGTGTGTGAGTCAATGAGACTGGCTCAGGACAGGGAAGGAAGGCTTCAGAGTTGTTGTTCATAGGTTTGCTATGAGTTGCAGGTGATTCAGCAGCACATAACAACGAGATATTCAGTACTCTTCTCCAACACTACAATTCAAAGGCATTGATGATTCTTCTGTCATCCTTATTCATTGTCTAATTTCTAGATACAAAGCAAACAACTGAAAATACCTTGACTTAGATCAGGCAAATTAATTTGCCATTCTCTCAAATGGATTTTATTCAGACTCTTGAACTAAAATGAGTAAACAAATAAACAAAACCCCTTGAAACAACCAAATAGGACCTCTCTTATTTTCCCCTTCTCTAAGGGATCACTGAAATTTTAAATTACTTACACACAGAAACTCCAGACCACATCCTTTTGGAGGAAAATCCAGGTTCACTTATCAAGGGCATTTAGCTCTTAGGTTGAAACTTTTCATTTTATTTTAGAACTGGATTCAAAGAAGGATGTTAACATTGGCTAGTTAGATAATGATAGTTAACACAAACAGGGAAAAAGGTGATTAGCTTTTCTTTTGTACATCTCTGCATGACTTGTCATTAGTTAGAGGGACTAACAGGGACTCCATGTGTACCATAGTATAGCTGTGTTCCACAAAGTTTTCATGGCTGACAGATTGCCAGGCCTGGCTTCCTAATTGCCTGTGGGTAGGTTTGAACCACCTACCTTTCGACTAGTAGTTGAATGTTTAACTTTCTATACCAATTAGGGATTCCTTTGATTTGTTACGATCATTTTTTATTAACTATTAGGCAACGGTTGTTGTTACACGGCATCAAGTTGCTTGCGACTCATAGCGACCCTGTACACAGCAGCTCTGAACCCTGCCTTATCCTAAACCAATCTCATTGAATCCCACTCATCGACCCCCTCCCCCCCCTTACTCCGGTCACAGTGTCAATCCATCTCCTGATGTTTGTCTCTCCTAGCTCTCCACCCTTCTATGCATGATGTCCTCTCCAAGGACCGGTCCTTTCTGGCAACATGGTACCAAGTGATGGCTGTTTTGTGTGATTGCAAGTGAACGAGAAATCAAGTAGAAAACTGGGATAATTCACTTAAAGACCCAACTACCATTTTGGTCTCACTTTTAGAGATAATGATGAGCATTTTTCTTTAAGCAGTAATGGGACAGTGTAAACTACTTTTTAAGCTTTCTTCCTTCTACCACTTTCAAAGACGATGTGCATGAGGTCTCACCATGTTTCTCAGCCGCTGTCAGGTTACCAGGCCAATGCCCATCCCACCCACCGCGGGACTGGGGGCTCTGGGAGGTGCGGCCCCTTTAAGGGGGCAGATTCCGGGGGGCTGTCCCTGCTCCGATTGGTGGAGTTTAGAGTCACGTGAGCAGGGGGAGGCGCCGAGCGGTCTCGGTCTGCCGCGGGGCCGTCGGGGTGGGCACCTCCACCAGAGACCGGGAGCGGGTTGCCTGATGTGTTTGGCGCGGTCTCTGACCGGCCTCACCTTTTGTGCCTGCTACCTGGCTTCTTACCTCACGAACAAGGTGAGGGGGCGGGCGCGGGGAGATGTGAGTCCCATAGACGTGGACTAGCGCAGCCTCCACTTTCTTCTGTTATCTTTTCCTGTTGATGGAGAAGAAACAGATTCCATGCTTTAGGCACCAGATTTGCAGCATCCGTGCTGTCTGTCCCTGCTTGACGCTTTATAAACCTCCCCCTACATGCTTTGGGAAACAGGATATTTTGATTGATGAATCGGAGAACTTAATTTGGGACTGTGCGGACTACTTTTAAGGGAAAGAAAAGAATTGACTCCAGTTGTTTCAGGAAGGAAGAGTGGTGGGAAGAACTCAGACACTTCCTACTTTCTTTTGTAGTCACACCCCCGCCCCAGATTTTCAAGGTGTCAGAAACCTTTACCTTGAAGAGATTACTCCTGCTCCCTTCAACCAGTGAGTCCTCAGTCTGTTCTTAATGTGTTCACCTTTCAAGCTCTTCAGGTGTATTCAGCAGTGTTCAATAGAATTGTCTTTAAGATAAAATTTATATTTAAAATACTTTTCCCATGAGGCAGCAGGGAAAAAAAATAGATCCATCCTTGCAAAGGTTTTGGATCATTGGTAAATTGGAGTTGGTGGTGGGCATTTTCATTGTTAGGAGGGGAAGCCGGCCTTGGGTTTGGTACCAAGGATACCAAATGCTGGAACCCTGTGAACATGGTCTCTGTCTTGGTGAAGCCAGGATAATAATTCCTAGACTCCGGTCACATAGTGGAAGGTCTCCTCTGCCACTGCCTATCTTCTTCTTATCACCCCCACACCCTATTGCACTCTTGAAAATAGATACTTAGAGACCTTTCTAGTAATTTCTGTTTTAACTCTAGGTTATTCTCTGTCTGTTCCCTCCTGTTCCTTCCCAATAGTGTTCTCCTGATGACAGGCCTTTGAAGGTCCTCTACTACAACTCCTCTGGAAGATAGTATTGGCTTTGGAAGTTCAAGTCTCTGAATCTGATAAACACTCTTTTCACTGTTGTTGTTATGTGCCCTTGAGTTGAGTATGACCCATAACAACAGATTTGAACCCCCACCTATCTTGTACTTAAAATTTCTGACACATTACAGCCCACTGAGGCAGTTACCATGTCAATCCATCTGGCTGAGGGTCTTCCTCTTTCGCTGCCCCTCTACCTTTCTGAGCATGATGTCCCTTTTCAAGGAATAGCCTCTCCTAGCAACAGGCCTGAAGGATGTAAGACTCTTTTCAATGGGATCTTTTAGAGATTAATTGCAATAATACTTGTAAGGTGGTTGGACTGGTGTCTTGTGTTGTAGTAAAAGATCAGCAAGAAAAGTGGTTGTTACTCCGGGATCGGAGAGGAAGCAAGCAGGAAAGACAATTTGATTGTATGAGGAAGTAATTGGAAGGTTTCTTTTTTCATCATTTTATTGTATGAGGAAGACAGTTTTTATTATATGAAGAAGTAATTAATAGATTTCCTTTTCCATAATTTGAAACACTGTTAAGCTAAAAGAAGATAGAATCTTGGTCTTCTGCACAATCTCAGGAATAAGTCAACTTGTGAAATATTAACCCTATCTCTTAAACATCCTAATTTGTTTAGCTGGCCTGATGGATATGCTTTAAAACAGAGTGGCTTGCTTTTTAATTTTTTTTTTTTTATATTTTTTTTCTATAATTATATTTTATTAATTTTCATAAACATTTACAGAGATTTTGGGCTTCCACTCATTCATTGTTGCACTATTCTCTCTACCCTCCTCCCAGTTTGTTCTTGTCCAAATGCCACAGTGCTTGTCAAAGCCAGTTCTGATTAATCTTCTTTGTCAGTGTGTCCTTTGCCATTCCCTATCACTCCTCCCTGAGAGAGACTTCACCCTGAGTCATAAGGAAAAGGGGATGGCGTATTCTCTTAGCTACTTCCTGCTGAAAAGGGATGCTGTGGGTTTCAGGGTGAAGATCTTCTCTCACTACTCTAAAGGGCCCCTTTGGCAGTAGGAAACACATAGACTATTATGGAGATTGATTTTGGAATTTAGATGCACTCTTATTGATTGTGCTTGGCTGTACATGTTCATATCCTTGAAGATGTATCATGGGGGTGTTGCAACCTAGAAGACACAAATTTGACTAACAAGTTATAAGTACATGAGTCCAAAAATTATGGAAAAGTAAAAGAAAAGATTCTTTCATTGTTTTACAAACCCTCCCCCAGGCCCCCTCCACCATGTAGCCCTCGCTCTAGTCTCCTGTGATGACAGAAATACCCAGTTATATCTCTCTTTTAAACGGTTCTCTCCCTCCTCTGTTTCAGTGCAGTATACATTATTGAACCCATCTTACTCAGTCTCTCCCCAACCCCAAGGACAGTCCCATTCTACAACAGTGGCATCATGTAATATTTGTCCTTTTGTGACTGGGATATTTCACTCAGCATAATGTTCTCCAGAGTCAACCATTTTGAATAATATTGCATGAGTTCCTTGTTTTTTAATGCAGCATAGTATTCCATTGTGCGAATATACCACAGCTTCTCTAGCCATTCGTTTGTTGATGGGCACTTAGGTTGTTTCCAACTCCTTGCTATTGTGAACAAAGCTGCAATAAACATGGGTGTGCATATATCTGCTTGGATGTCAGCTATGGTCTCTTCAGGGTATATTCCCAGTAGTGGAATTGCTGGGTCAAATGGTATCTCTATTTGCAACTTTTTGAGAAAGCGCCATACTGCTTTCCACAGGGGTTGCACCATTTTACACTCCCACCAACAGTGAATCAGGGTTCCAGTTTCTCCACAACCTCGCCAGCATTTGTTGCTTGCTGTTCTGTTAAATTTTGCTATTTTGACTGGGGTGAAATGATATCTCATAGTTGTTTTAATTTGCATCTCTCTTAGGGCTAGGGATTTTGAGCATTTCTTCATGTGTTTGTTAGCCATCTGAATGTCGTCTTCGGTGAAGTGCCTGTTCATATCCTGTGCCCATTTTTCTATTGGATTATTTACCTTTATCTTGTTGTGGTGTGCTTTTTAATTTCAATTAAGTCTTCAGGAGGGGCAAATTATCATGTCTCTTAAGAAAGTTTACATTCCAAGTCAGTGGTCAAAAAGAAAGAAACCAAAAAAGTTCCAAAATAACTATTTAAGGCAAAAAAAACCCCAAACCAATACCCACACAAGAACCCAGCAGACAGTGTTTAGTTCATAGACTTTTTTATACTCCTCCTCCCCTCTGGATAGACAGCCTTGGTGGCGGATTTGTAGGGAGTTGTACTGCTAACCTAAAAATGGAACCTTTCTGATGAATCCATCAGAGGTGACTTGTGAGAAAGATAGGCAGTCTCTTCGTGTCTTTACTCCTCAGAAAGCCTCTGAAAACCCACTGGGAAGTCAGCTATGAGTCACTTCCAACTCCAGGGCAATGCCTTTGACCCCTCTGGGTACTTGTTTGCATTTGTGGCATTCCCACTTCATAGCCTGTGCCTAAGATGGCATTTCCTATGTGCACATTGCCTCAAGGTGCTTGATATTAGTGTCTGCTATCTTTATGATCATTGCTGCAGCCACTGTGTGTTCTGAGTTCCTCCCAACTTACAGGACCCTGTGGTGCTCAACTCCCAGCACTCCCGTGGGGCATATCCGTGTGATCGGTAGATTGGCTAACCTGCAGAAGTAGGTTGCTATGGCTGTTTTCCCAGTATGTTGAAGTCTGGAAGACTCCATTGAAAATTCTCCCTCTTTGGTGACCCCTGTGGCATCATGAGATGGAGTATGTTGTTGTTACGTGCTGTCGAGTCGCTTGCGACTCATAGCGACCCTATATACAACAGCCCTAAACCCTGCTCTATCCTGTGCCAATTGCACTGCCTCTGACACACCCATCCCGATTACCCCAGTCACTGAATCAATCCACCTCATAGAGGGTCTTCCCCTCTTTCGCTGTCCCTCCACCTTCCCAATCATGATGTCCCTCTCCAGTGACCTGTCCCTCCTTACAACATGTCCAAAGTATGTCAGATGAAGCCTCAGAATCCTTGCCTCCAAGGAGCAGCCTGGTTTAACCCTCTCCATGATGAATCTGTTTGTTTTCTTGGCAGTCCATGCTACATTCAATATGCTTCTCCAGCACCACGGCTCAAAGCTAATTTAAACAATAAGCAGCCAGGTTTCACCCTTTCAGGGACAGACCTGTTAGTTCTCATGGCAGTACAAGGTATGTTCAATACTTTTCCCCAGCTCCACCACTCAGAGGCATCCAGTCTTCTTCTGTCATCCTTGGTCATTGTCCAGCTCTCTGATGCATAGCCACATCATTGAGAAGACCATGACTTGGGTCAGGAGCACTTCTCACATACTGTGGGCATGTTGCCAGGAGGGACCATCTTGTGTGGAAGGGTGAGGGTCAGTGTAAGAGAGGAAGACCCTGGATGAGATGGATAGACACAGTAACTTTGGCAATGGGGTCAGGTGTTTTAGAAATGATGAGGCTGGCTCAGGATAGGAAAGGCTTTCCAGCTTTTGTGCGTGGGTCTCTATAAGTCGTGGATGACTCAATGGAATAACAACAGTAACAGTAGCGTTGTAACAGCACGCAGGCTACCACAGAGTGGCACGTGTTAAAATTGAATAAGTGTCATGGTGAGATAAAATACCATGTCCCAGGAATATATAATCTAAGTAAGGGAAACCATAGATCCCTGTGCTTATTGTTGTTGATGTTTCTTCTGATTCATAGCAACCAGATAGGACATAGGATTTTCAAGGAGGAAAAACGAAAGGGTTCCTTGTCCTCCGAGAGATTCCAGCAGTGCACGAGGGCCCACCTTCCTCTCATAGCTCTTCAGCCATTACCCTTCTTTCATAGGGTCCAGAGACCTCGTAGTGCAGTGGCTAAAGCATTTCCCCAATCTGTAAATGTGGCTGTGACATTCGCTGCCATAAAGTTCACAGCCTTGGAACCCACATGGGGCAGCCCTACTCTGCCCTTTGGGGTCACGGTGAGTTGGAATTGACTCAGAGGACACAA